ACAAGCGCTCTCAATGATGTCTTTCGATAAAAAGCACAAAATATAAGAGAAAAAATTCAGTGCTTTGACTACAGTGAATTTGGTACAGAACCACTTTATTATCCGCAAAACACACATCCTATTTCCTTCAGTACATACTTTTCTTATCATTTTGATGACAATAATCCATAGAGAGATTACAAACATTTCAAAATCAAAAGTTCAAAAGCTGGTTCTGCTAATTCGAATATTAGAGCCAAACAGAGCGGTCTGCGGCAATGCCGGCACGGAACGCGTATTGGCGCCTACATGACTGCAAGGATACTTCACGCATTGCGCATACAGTTTGACACGAGACTGCAGGGATACTTCACGCATTGCGTCTAACGCGCAATGCTTGAAGTATCCCTGCAGTCTTGTAGGCGCTAATACGCGGCTCGCGCTAGCCGCACTGTTTTTGGCTGTAATACTCAACCTCACGGAGTCAGCGTTTTCAACTCATGGTTCTGAAATTTTTATACATCGTTTTTAAACTCAGGTTTTTGTTTCATGGATTTGTCAAGTCCTTTAATCGATTTGATGTTTTTATGATATTTAGATTTAATTATCTTCGGTACCAGATTACCTGACAAACATGGCTATGCCTTAGTCGTCCGTAGAAGAAAAAAAGAAGCATTTGAGATTTTTGTACACTCTGTATGGATTATTCTCATTTAAAGTGATGAAAAAAATTATGTTTAAAATTACAACTAATCCTCTCTTTCTTCAGATGTTTTTTAAAAGTCTCTTACGACTTCCTTTAATCACACTATAAACCAGTGATGCGTCCCTGGTAAATTAGGTCGCATCGCAACCAGAGGGCTGATCACCAAAATTGATAGATAGAGCAATAGATATAAAAGACCGAGGGAAAATTGGGCGATCCTGTTGGTGGATGTAGGTGGTTGCAATGGACATAGAAGGTTGATAATAGACTAGACGGCAACCCACGAGAGATCCTATACTGCCGTGCTACGGAAGAACGCCGTTTGGGCATTCAAGCGTACTTCAGGCGCCTTCTTTCCTTCAATAAAAAACGAATTTACTAGAAAAATTCTGAATATTTTTCTCATAATTTTTCAGACAATTTTGTTCCCAATTTAATCTGAAATCTCGTTAAATTTTATTAGTTAATTGATGAACTCAATAGATGAACACGCGGTTCACGGATGAACACACGGTGAATATCGTTCACCCAAATCGTTAATTGTGGTGAGAATCACCTGAGTCCTGGTGAATACTACCATAATTTTGGTCATTTTCACTGAATAGTATCACTGTGTAAAAAATCAAGTGGACTTATAGTAGCCATTACCATACTTTTTTTTCAGTGCATCTGAGCGGTATTTTTCCTTGAGCCCTCCTTGTGTATTTTGTGCACTGAAAAAAGAACTCCGGCCGTGGGAGCCGCAATTACGGGCTATATAGACATACCGTCCGTTCCGGGCTCCAAGGCCGAAAATTCCGGCTGCTGGAGCCGTAGCTTCGGCCTCTGAACCCGGAACAATCGAAGCTACGCCTCCAGCAGTCGGAATTTTCGGCCTTTGGGCCCGGAACGGACGGTATATATAGCCCATAATTGCGGCTCCCACGGCCGGAGTTTTTTTTCAGTGTGAAAAACTCCATAAGGATGGTCAGAAGCGTCATAGCTTCAGGTCATACTGGCAACGCCACAGCTATGGTCAGAAGCGTCATAGCTTCAGGTCATACTGGCAACGCCACAGCTACTCCTTGCCTGTGTTTCAAAATATTCCCCTGATTATAAGTTACTAGACAAATTATGAATATTTTTCTCATAATTTTTCAGACAATTTTGTTCCCAATTTAATCTGAAATATCGTTAAATTTTATTAGTTAATTGATGAACGCAATAGATGAACACGCGGTTCACGGATGAACACACGGTGAATATCGTTCACTCAAATCGTTAATTGTGGTAATAATCACCTGAGTCCTGGTGAATACTACCATAATTTTGGACATTTTCACTGAATAGTATCACTGTGTAAAAAATCAAGTGGACTTATAGTGGCCATTATCATACTTTTTTTTCAGTGCAGTTGAGCGGTATTTTTCCTTGAGCCCTCTGTGTGTATGTGAAAAGCTCCATGAGGATGGTCAGAAGCGTCATAGTTTTAGGTCATACTGGCAACGCCGCAGCTACTCCTTTCCTGTGTTTCAAAATATTCCCCTGATTATCAAATTTTTGAGTTCGAATCTGGGAACAGAACAGCAGAATCGTCTCCGGTTGCACGTGATGGTCAGTCTCGATATTCTAAATTCACTCGACACCAAAAAGTGGAGAGGCATCATAGAGACCTCGAGCACTGAAAGAAAATGCTCGGCGTTTTTACCACGGTCCGTTGGTACCTTTACCATCTCACTTTTTTTTACCAATTATTGGTAATTTTACCAAGACAGACTGGTAAGCTTACCTAAGAACCGGTATTTTTACCGTTTTCTTCAGGTAAAAATACCTCATTTATTGGTAATCAATTCCCGCACCGAAAAAAAAGGGAAATTAAATTAACATTCTGAATGTAAAAAAAGTGTGCGAGAACTTATAAATGCTGAATTACCCGCCACAGCACTTAATTTTACATCTTGGCATTGCTGAAGTAACTGCTGTGTCAGGTATTTCAGCATTTTGTAAGTTCTCGCACACTTTTTTTACATCCAGAATGTTAAATTAACTTCAATTTTTTTTCGGTGCGGTAACTTTGCCATTTTATCTCGGTAATCCTACCACCGTCGATAAAAAATATTGGCGTCTTTACCGGGGTCCAGTAAAATTACCGAGAAAGTTCAATGATTTTACCGAGATTTCTCGGTAAAATTACCAATTCCATAAATGGTAATTTTACTGAGAAAAAACTGGGATCAAATAGAACCCTGAATTCTTGGTAATTTTACCCTTTTCTTAGTAAATACACCGAGATTTTTTTTCCAGTGAGGTTGAGGCGCGCGGGTGTGTATCGACGTCGTAAGTCGGCGATCATGTATCTCGTTTGTGGTGGCTGAAAATCTCCGTCTCTATATTAATTTTTTGGAGGAGAACAAATTGACAGCATTCCTTGAAGTTTAAGCAGAATTGTGTTCGCACAGAGAAGAAAAATCACGGCAGTTTTAGAGAATTGCCGTTAAGTAGTTTTCCGTTAAAAAAACCAAGTATGACCAGGCCCGCCACATCCTGCCTCGGGCCCTGGTACCAGTTTAAAAGCCCGGACCCCCAGCACAAAGAGGGGTCCGAGGGGCTCCCCCGAGAAATTTTTGAAATTTCAAATCTATTTGGACGCGTTTTGAAGCTCCCATGACAGAGATTTTCTATCAATTTCTACAGAATAATTACGCCCTTTTTTTACTTTTACTTTCAGCACAAAATACTCTCAAATTGTTGCATTCATAACATTTGCTGGATTTTTTTTTG